CGGCCTCCCCCCGCCCACTAGGCCTCACGATTTCATTGGCTATACAACCTGTCTCTTGTACATACTCTATTCCCATTTGTAAACGTGGTTCCAAAGCCCCCTGGAGGTGAATTAGAGCGATTGACGAATTCAATCTCTAAGTGCGATTGGTCAGAGAGGTTAACCAATCACCGACGAGATCAGACCTCCTCCCGATCTTCCCCGGTTCTAGAGAGGCGTGGTCTACATTCAGGGCCTTTTAATCAGTTTGTCTGTACTCTCCCAGCTGTCAGGTGCGTCTCTTGTTATTGCTTTTTCAGACGTTTATTGCATTGTATCGGCAGGGGAATATTGAGGCAGATAGGAAGGAGTGTGTGGGGGGAGGTAATCCTGGAAATTAATACTTGTTGCAATGCAAACAATTATTTGAGATAATTGAGTGATAACCCTGGAAATTAATACTTGTTGCAATGCAAACAGTTATTATACAGAAGCATACCTCTTTACATATGGCTACATAGTACTTTAGGGCAATCAGGCAATTTGTGTCAAAACCTTCTTACACTGGGCTCACCTGCCGTGGCAACCTTTGCTAAGACACTGTAACTCTGAGGCTGAGGCCACATGAGAGGCAGGGTTGGGTTTCTGGCCCGTTCTAATCAGGCCAGGACCTGGTCTGGAGTGTACCAGTAACACTAGTTAACCGGGAGGTGGGGGCAGGCAGGTGGTGACATAATAGTACCTTGTCAAAAATTCTCTTTTCCTCTGTCTCTCTCTTTTTAAAATAGTGATATTACAACTCTCTCTTTCTCTCTCTGGTAAGTACATGTGCCCTATAGCAAACTTAAAAAAAAAAAAAGAAGAAATAAATAAATGAGTTTTTAAAAATTAATTGAATAGGGGCCAGCAGGTGGCATGGTGGTTAAGTGCTCTGGACTTCTACATGGCTAAGCATGGTTTGAGTCTTGCACCTGGTGGCTTGCTTTCTCACTTTCTCTCTTTCTCACTTTCTCTCTCTCTCATTGTGTTCCTATCTGGTCAAATTAAAAATAAATAGATAAATAAAGTTAAATAAAATAATTCTTTTTTAAAAATTAAGTGAATAATTATTTTTAAAAATATTTATTTAATTTCATTTGTTATTATTATTATTTTTTAATTTAACCAGAGAGAGAGAGAAAGGGAAAGTGAGAAAGCAAGCTGTCAGGTCCGGGACCCAAGCCACAGTCCACCATGTGGGAGTCCAGCATCTTAACCACCATGCCACCTGCCAGTCCCATAAATGAATAATTCTTTAAAAAAAAGATTTAAATTGACCTTGTATTCTGCATACTGCTCTGGACTGCTCTTCTTTTACAAGAGAAAAAGACAATTATTAATTCTTTTTTTTTTCCTTTTAAGATTTTTACCAAAAGTACATATGGTTGCTGGGGAAAGAGAGAGGAAAAGAGAGAGAGAGAAAGTGAGCAATCACTTCCCAGTGGTGATAGTTGGGGGATGATTGCTCTGCAACCCCTTGTCTTCCATTCACCTCTTGGAATTTTGGGTGTGCATGCACACAAACTCTGCATAATTTTCAATCTGCTGGGTCCAGGACTCAAACCCTGAGGTCATCTATGTTGGAGTCCAGAGCTTTAATCACCATGCCACCTGCTGGCACCAACAATTACTATTTCTAATTAAAAAAAAAAAAAGTTTTTTGCAGAATGAGCCTGTAGTGTAGGAGAGCAAGTTCTCAAATGGCCAACCATGGCTTGACTCCTACCTAGCCCCAGCAGCTTGGGAAAGATGCCAGGAGTGTGTGTGTGCTCCTTTAAAATCCTAATGGGATGAAAAAATGGAGCTGAGTGACCACGCCCCATTGTGAGGGAGTTTTCTCTTTCTTTCTCTCTGTCTGTAATGCACACCTATGAGTGCATGTACCTTCTGGAAATTAAGAGAAAAAGACAAAAACAAAAATAGAGCATAATGGTTACATTATTAAGATTGGACTCCCATAGAGTCGACAGCAGTTTGAATCCCAGACCCAGCGACTTAAAACACACCAGGTGCATCCTGAGAGAAGATGGAGAAGGGATTGCAGCGTGGCTATCCTTCCTGGGGAGGATTTCATGCTTTCTGTCTATCTCTCTTTGTCTCTCCAGCAAGTGCATGTAACTTATAGCAAAGACCTCTGGAAAAAAAAAAAAAAAGAAAGAAAAGAAAAAGACAAAAATAGAGAAAAGTAGGAAAATGAAACAAAAAGTGTGCTGGAAAAGCTAGGCATTCAAATGATCTTTCTCTAAAAACAACTAAAAAATACCAGGAAAATGGAAATATCTTCTTTAAAGAGTAGTTGAATCAACAGGACAATAAAGAATGAGCAGGCTCAAGTCCAAATGAAGCCAGAAACCTAAAGAGGTGTTTAAAACACTGCACTCACTGTGCTTGGCTCCGAGGGCATTTGCCAGACCTACGGGCTTGGTCTTTGTTTCTTTGTTCTCCAAAGGAGAGGACAGAAGAGACAAGAAAGCCTCCCTGTCATGAACTGGTTCTCTCTTCATTCCCAGAGAACTGAAATGAAAGTTGCCTTGGTGGCAAACTACGCAGAGGAATTTGTGACAAGTAAGCCCTTATAGAAATGTGTAATAGATTAGTATTTAGGTGGTTTAAAACAACAAAACCCTCAAGTTTTAAATTCAGATTAAAGAGCTCTTAAAGAGGAGAGTGCAATACCCCCACTTTGCAGAAACTAATGCAAGACCCACCCTGGAAAAATGTCCATTCATCCTAGGCACCAAAGAACTCCAATATTTGCCAAGAAAAATTAGTAGCTCATAATGAAAAACAAAAAGCAAAAAACCAAAAAACTACACATACAAGGAGAAAAGACACCATGAATTAAAACCAGAAGAAACAATAACAGTAGAAGCTGAACCTAAAACACTTGAAATAACTATCTGAGACAGCTTGGAAAATAATTATGGTTACTGTGCTTAAAGAAATAAAATAAGGGGGGACTAGCAGATGGCAGAATGGTTATGTCATTGGACTCCCACGTAGTCGACCATGGTTTGAGTCCCAGATCTGGCAGCTTAAAACTCATGCCAGGTGTGCGTATATGCATAGGTGCCGAAAATCTGGAGAGGAGAAAGGAGGAGGAGGAGGGATTACAACATGGCCATCCCTCCTGGAAGGTGATTCCTCGCTTTCTGTCTCTCTGTGTGTCTCTGGCAAGCACATATGTCCTATAGCAAAAATCTCTCTCTAAAACAAAAGAAATAAAATAAGGGGCCATAAACTGGCATGGTGGTTAAAATGCTGGACCCCCACATGGTTAACCACAGTTCAAGCCCCAGACCCAGTGGCTTGAATACCACACCGGGCACATGTGCATGTGTGCCCAAAACCCTGAGAGCAGAATGGAAGAGAAGGCCTGGCCATCCCCCCAGGGGTTGATTTCTCACTTTCCCTCTCTGTCTCTCTCTAGCAAGTACATGTGCCCTATGGTAAAAACCTACAAATAAAGAAATGAGAAACTTGAAAGTATATTGGAAAAAAATAATAAATACAAAGAAAGTTTAAAAAAGAAAAATAATTTAGCACATTTAAAAATAGAGGGTCTTGGGACCAGCAGATGGTGTCACGGTTGCATCACTGGACTCCCATGTACTCGACTGTGGTTCAAGTCCCAAACCCAGCAGCTTACTTTCTGTCTCTCTGTCTCTCCAGTGAGAACATGTACCCTGTAGCAAAAATCTCTTTCTCAAAAAAAAAAAAAAAAAGAGGGTATAGAAATATAAAATATAAGACTTTAAGTTAAAAGTTGAGCCTTGCACCGTGGAATTCACATGGAAATCTGCAGCCGTGCCAATGGTGCTCTGTAGACCGAGAGCGGGATTTTGTGTCCCCCAAGAGTGAAGATTCGGGTGATACTACTTCCTCCTCAAGCTGTTAACCACTGGGTGCTGTTCTGAGGTTTGGAACGATGTCAGAAGGGAGAGGGATGGAGTGCTGTGTGTGTTGCCACCAGTATGAGGATTATGCTGTAAGTTCAGAAACCTTTACATCTATCCAAGAGCAAAGATAATGAATACATTGTGCACAGAAGCACTCACCCACACATGTGAATCTCACTTCCTTTAATGTCAGTTCCCAGGGCTGAGGAGTTGAGGGGCAAGGTATTGTTACAGAGGTTTGTGTCATTCGAGGATATGGTTGATGGACTTCACCTGGGAAGAGTGTCAGGACTTGGATGATGCTCAAAGGACCCCATACAGGGGTATGATGCTAAAGACCCACAGTCGCCTAGTGTCCTTGGGACACTGCACTGCCAAGCCTGCATTGATCGAGTTGCACCAAGAAGTAGAGCCGTGGGCATTAGAAATCCCAAAGCAGAAACTTCCAGATGTCCAGAAAGTAGATGACATGATTGATAAGAGCCTAGAAATCAAGACAGACTTGGCAAGTTGTAATCCCCAGCAGCAATATATCAACTAAGGAGAGAGTCAAATTAAGAAAAACATTTCAT